GTTCTCAGATCCCGCTTTCCCGCCAATTTTTCCCTGTTAATCCCGTCATCCCGCCCTTTTTTGCCTGGAAATCCCGATCCCGCCTACTTTTTAAAGACGTTTCTGCGTTAATTATTAATTAGTTAAATTAATAAAACAAATATGATGAATACAACTACCTTGATTCCCCGCAGGCACATCTCGTGGAGGGAATTGGCCGTTGGTGCTAGAAAAAAAAATTGGTTATAGCTCATATGTGTGTAACGCGTCTTTTCGTTCGCACTCGTTTTCAATAGGCAGTCGTCTGGTACGAAGATGGGACCCCGACAAAATTCGGAAAGTGTTCGGAAATGTGCGAGTTTTCGCAGGTTTCTCTATTTTGTTTCAAAGTGACAGCAAATACACAGTCGGATGTGTGTGCCCCCTGTGGGAAGTAATGGTTGTAGGGAGGGCTCCTTTCGTTTTCTTTCCGTTGGGATAGTTGGAACTGTGTGAATAAAAAAACAGGAGGACTCTGGTCGTTCATTTAAGATAATTTTTATTCCTTGCCCCAAAGTCAAATGATTGTGTCTTTTCTCTTTTAAGAGTATTAGTAGTTTAACTTTTGAAGTAAACCGAACGGATGCCTTTGAACTATTATCTTAGAAAAACAAAATAGACGCTATAATGCTCTGTTTTCCAGCGTTTGTCAGATACTATGTTTCTCCAGCTGAACTTAAGACGATGCATGAGACTGCATGTGATTTGTTAGGCACATTCAACCATATTGTTGTCAGTATCGTAAAAAAATGCCCCTGTAGATTTTATTAGCTTTAATATATCTTAAATCAAATTTAACTCATTGTCTCACCGCAAAACAATACGTTTGCGGTTTTTTGTGACATTATTTTTACCATGGTCTTATTATTATTTTTTTTTCTAAATGATTGATTTACTTTTCTTCAGCACACTGCGAAAAGTGACGTGAAGTTTAGCTGGTGTTCGTGAATGTTCTTCATACAGGAATCACGTAATACAAGAGAAACGAAACACTCTTTATACGCAATGAAAATCCCATAGTTGTGGGATCAGGCAAACTCTGTGTGAACAGAGTTGATTACTGTTTACTATTCTGGCAAAATTGGAACACCGACTCGCTTGACGCGTTTAAGTTTATCTGGATCTAGGTCTGCATGAAATTGGTCGTCCATTACTTTTGCTGTAGTTGGTGACGCATCCTGCTGGAGTGACGGAGCGGCAATCCTGCCATTGACGTTTTGGGAGCCGTGCCTTGGATAGTTTTCAGCCGCTGAAGGCGGAATCAAAGCACTTTCTGATCTTGAACTGGCCAAGCTTTGCCCATCAGTTGATCTAGCATAGTACCAAGTTGCTCCATCCGTGTCGTAATCTTCCTTAGGAAGTGGGTATGGCGGTTGATTTGATGAGTTTTCCAACGGCCATAACTGTACCTCTCTCACTGGTACTAAAACCTCCCCTTTGTATCTTCCGCTGTCTTCTAGCTCCCTGGATTCCCTTTTTCCATCCTTCCCTTTCGGAGACTTGTTCTTCCCAGGTTCAGTGTAGTAACCTGATGGAATATGCCCATTGGCACTCATGGGTCTTGGCGGAATCACCCCTGATCTCGCATCCTCGTTGTATGTTCTGATTTCCTTCGGTTCCTTTGATTTCCTTTTACCATTCTTCCCTTTTTGTGACTTGGCCCTCCCAGGTTCGGTGTAGTAACCTACAGGGATATGTCCATTGGCACCCGCAGGTCTTGGTGGAATCATTCCTAATCTGACCATTCTGGTCTCAGCTTCATTCGGTGCTTCTGTTCTGGAAAGTGATTGAACGGGAAGATTCCTCTGATACCCAACATATTTATCTGCTGTAGATGGTCGATAATTATAACTGCTTGACCTGTCGAGTTCTCTGGAATATCGTACGATTGAAGTGCCAACGATGAACGGCTCATCCCCGGCTGCTCTTGTCAATGTAGTTGGTGATCGAAACTCTTCGTGTGGTTTCTCTTTAAGATACCAGTTGCTGTTGTTGTTTGTGGGAACCACCAACGCCATGGAATTGGACGGGATTCCCACGGTTTGATTGATATTGGCAGAGTGTTGTTGTTGCAATTGGCGTTGCAAATGTTCCTCTTTTTTCCTTCTGCGATCCTTCCTGATGATTGAGGATAACAAAAAAAGTGTTGCACTACAAATATCAACATGTTTTTTCCAAAACTAACAGCAGAAATGACTAATCATCTGCCATATTAGTTGCCTTACTCATCGATAAAAAGGACGACAAATTAAACAGTTACCTTTTGTCAATTAACCGTTAAGTCTAAGAAAACTGCGAAGCTTTCGGTTTCGGCTTTCTTTTAGGAGCGCTCTTGAACTACCTTACTATACCAAGCTAGCAACTGAGGTAGTGTAAATTTAAACTGATAAGGTGTTGGCAAGAACCCTTCGCCTGTCATAACGCAAATTTAGACCCTACATTTGCTTCATTGGTAGAGGATTACAGTATCAATTTTTTAAAACAGCGTTATGAACGACGTTTATAAAATATATCATTACCTGGCCCATAGTGTGCAAAAGATAACGATGATACACAGCAGGACAAAAATTAAGGTCGCTAATCCTGCGACGAGGCCAATGAACCAAGGCTCCACTTCTACCATGTTCTGAATAAAAGAAAATAATTATAAAAGAAGAAAATAACCGTCAGTCCATCAAAGTTTTATTAGATTTGTTTTTGCATCTTAGTTAATGCCACTTGGTAGTCGTTTCTTTTCCTATTTAGAGGCAATTTAAGGATTTTGAAGATAGTCACGCGGAGTCAGCTGTCGGCCAAAATAGTCATTAGGGAACTACTTTTCTGTTGTTAATATGATGGAGCTCAAACTTTGCAACATGATAGACTATTCAAAACCAAACAAACGCATGTTTTGTGTGTTTTGATTTAAACGGCTATTGGCGGGTAATGACGTCATCAAACTAACAGCAAAATTTCATTTTCCCCTTCTGACCAAACTAATGCATTACTTTGAAAGGAAAAGTTGAGATCAATTCAAATGTGAAAATTGTTCTAAAAGGATTTTTAACTAAAAAGATGTTGCATGTTGAAATTTGCCAAATCTAGTAGCAAAATGACCGAAAATTCAAATTTTCATCTCTTTTGAACACATCGAGCTTTTTTTAAAATAATTTTTTTTTACATTTGAACTCATCTCAACATAGACTTTGTACACAAAGCTAATTATTCGAGGGTGTATTTGGTCCGTGATATTAAGCCACGTGCATCATAAGACAATTGCAGTCTATTTGCATACTCCTGTTACATGAGGTACGATTTTCTCGACTGGAATAACGCCTACACACAAATTTTCCAATTCAAAGCATAGAAGTGAAAGAGGTTTGACGCCGGCAAATTAACGATGTTCCATAGCATTGTTATATGCGAAGCTCAGTGATAAACAAGCTATCACCTCCAGCAGGTCGAAACATAAGTATGCAAATTAAGGTGTTGAAACGTTAAAATGTGAATTACGAACGTTGCAAGACCTAACGACGAAGTCAGCGGGATTATTGTAGAATATTGACTAGTTTGTTATGATCTCTTGTTGGGAATCGAAAATTTGTCTCTCCTTCACTTTGGATCTCAAGACCAAACTTTATGCACTTTTGAGCTGTCTTCGCTTTTGCGATCAAGCGTGTCCGTGATTTCGTTAGCAATGAGTCGAGTAAACTGAAGTTATATACATCTTAAATGAAATTCTGTGTCTTATCGAGGACAACGTAAAAATGCACAACTACAAATTGAGTGGATTACGTCCAGCATACCTGTGATGAAGCTCGGGCGAGTTCGTGTGGTTTTACGTGCAGACAGTCACTTTCATTCTGTGTATTACGGTTGATTAGAGATAAAAACCGCCAAACTTAGCCAACATAAGTAGGGTCCAAATTCTACTAGAAATTCCTGATAGATAACCGTGCATTTAGATTCATCATGTCCTATCTATTCAGGGCGATTCTATTTGATCGTTTCCAGGAAGGAACGGAACCTCCTAGAGTGTTTCTACGAACGGCTAGCTACTTAGACAATTGGCGAATTAGGGTCTCTCAATGGAAACGCCAAAAGACAAAGGCTTTGCATGTGTTCAGACGTACATCTTATATAGGCAAGTTATGTTATGTACCCCAGCTTGGATCGATCGCATGCCGATCCAAACCAAACGATCCCCCTAGCTCTGAAGCTGAAACGTGGAACAGTTGATTGACTTCCTTGAACTCATTCAAAAGAGAGGTTTCTGGAAATTGGATTTCTTCAACCTGAATTGATTTATAAACTGTTTTAATAAATAGTCTTTAAGAATATCTCGCTGACATTTTAACTGCATCATCACTAAAATGAAGCTTAACAACTCGAGAGATCGCTGTAGGACACGTTGAAGTGACGTTAAGCCTTGTTTTAGGCCACAGAATAACCGAAATGGCTAACTACATTGTTAGACCATATTACCATATTCACAAATGACTAGCAATTGTTGAAACGTCAACTTGAGTTTAAAACAAAAATAACCACAAAAATATAACAACTAAATACTTTAAGCGACCAAGGAAAATCAAAGTCTTCTCCTATATCCATACTGAGCTGAAAAACAGGGTACATTGATAATGTCAGGGAAGTAAATCAGTCGAAAACGTTATCCGCCCTGATCACAACACTTACACAACGCCCACAGTGCTTATTACCATAAGTCGCTTAGATCTATGACCATCCGTGCGATATGTCTCGTTTTTCACTACAATACGGGCTGCAAGATTGACATATAGACACATATACACAATTTTGAATCTGTGGTAAAGAAATTTGAAAAGCATATTGTTGTAGAAGCCACAACAATTCGTTTCATCAACGCAACAGCCAGGCTCTGCTATCAGTCTTCGGTGTTACAAAACGCACTGAAAGTGGGCACAACGCTTTTAAGGCAAGCTGAATAATTTCAAAGAAATTTGTATGAATTGGCAGTCACTCTCTAAAAGCTTGCTGCCTTACGATTAATTCTGCGGAGCAGTAAAGTTAAGTCGATGATCAAATGAATCAAATGGTAAAACCACGCGGCCAAAATCGAAGGTCATCTTAATTCAATAATTAACTTCTAGAAATTTTAATAAAGTTATACGTACACCTATTCGATGCTTGCAACTTACTTCAAGTCTGCATTGATTTCAGGATTTTCTTAAGCGATTCTTGTTTCAACCGAATTCGAAGTGAAGACATTTCTTTCACATTTTGGTTGTGCCGTCTCACCGCTCGACTTCTTGCTTCATTAATGCAAGAAATGAGATAAACGTCTTCCTGCCCGCAGTCGAGCATTCGTTACATTCTTTCGCAAGTGCTTGCCAATATTCACGTATGGAATCATGGAGAAACGTGCAACTTTTATCTCTTTCCAGCGTAAATCGTGTTAAGAACAACGTATACTTTAATGCTGCTTCCTGTTGTGAGAGGATAAAGTTATTGCACTGGCTTTTTATCAAACTTTTGCCCGCTTGTTAACAATTATAATCAGGAAAATGTTTACACGTGTGTCATGAATCATCTAATTTAATATTGTTTTCGTTCAGTTTTTGTTTTGCAGATTTAAAACTAATTCTGTATGCATTAGTCAATAGGATTAATTACGACATCATGTTTGTATTTCACACATACCCGTTCTATAAATGGAATTGTACGTTACATCGAAAAAAAATTGTTTATTGTGAAGTCGATATGCTGAGGGGAGGGGATGGCTGGGAGGTATTTGAGAAGACTTGTTTTTCTTGAAGAGTATATGAACTGCATCGAAAAAAGGATTGTATATTGTGAAGTCCATATGCTGAGGGGAGGGGAAGGTTGGAAGGTAATTGAGAAGACTTGTATTTCTTGAAGAGCATATGAACTGCATCGAAAGGGGAATGCACCTGCGACAACAGATCTTTTAAATTTTTTAGAGGTTCTTAAAATAACAGTAACCTCAGGAACATCTCTGCCAGATGAATACAATTCAGTACAAAGTATCAGGAGGTATTTGTGGCTGGTCAAATATAGCTTACTTCGATTTTATGATCAAAAGCACAGTGGCCAAATGCATTCTAAGCGTGTTTGTTATTGGCCCCAAAACTGGCTAATGCTTTAATGTGGTTTCTCTCGGCGATAAATAAATTTGGAGAAACACTTCAACCTTCAAAAAAGTTTAGATAAAAATTTACCCTCCATGCGAAAAAATAATAAAAAAGACACATAAAAAGTGGAATTTTCGAATTTGGTACCGTCCTTCGTAGAATGTACTTCTTATTTTGCTATAAAATGATGTGATTCGGAACGATAAGAACATCTGATNTCATGAAAAGGAAACATAAGTACGACAGGAAATCGGTTATTGCCCAGATTATGACTTGTGGTTCCGATCTTTCAATATTTGCCAGAAATGTACTAAGCCATGAAGAATAGAAGAAATAAGTTGTGTCTAAAACGTGTTAATAAGGTAGAGAAATTTGTAATTATTTTTGCATACGTGCTGTCAGGCATTGATATTCGTGTTGTTATCAGTTCTGTCATTCATTTCAAACAGATCACGTGGCGTCTTTTGATATTTTAGCTTATTTCCTGCTCAAACGAGGAAATATCAGACATCATGTGTCTACAAAATTATCCCAGCAAAGCGACTTGAATTTTATCCTGAAACAACCTTCCTAAACCGACATTCGGGGTTTTTAAAACAAGGTCATGTTGTTCCGCCTTCGCTTGTATTGTAATAAAATTAATAAAAGGAAACGAGTACAGATAAATTGTCATTAGTTATTATCCGATCTTCGATCAAGACAAAGTGTGGTTGATATCCGCCGTCGCGAGTAATCCGCCTGAATGTTTTGATACAGAAAGAAAACTGTAATTTCTAGTATTTTTCTGGATAATTAGAATCTTAGAAATGAGAATAATATTTCAAGCATGTAATGCTATTTATCATGTAAATTTTAAGCGGAACATACTGGCTAACCGTATGACGCATACATGTGAGGAACATGTGAGCGAAGCTAGAAACTACCCTTAAATATTTTGAAATCAAAAGAGCTTTTTCTCCTTAAATTTATTTTAAAAAATGTTACTCTTCCAAAACTTTAAATTAGCTTAATTAAACAGCGTAGCGAACGAGCAATGTGACGCAGATGTTAGTGTAAGGTGCATGTAGTTTTCGTTTGAGAGCTGTGCTTTACCAACATCCGTGCTAAAATATTTTTCAACTCACTTTTGACTCAGAGCTCGAAGTATTCGTCTGGGACTTGAATCGAAGCTTTGGCGCCAAGAACCTTTCCTGTTGTTACATCTTTTTGTCGACGTTTCGTGAAATTTTGCCAACAGTGAGCGCCAGTATTATTTACGACTTATTCTTCGATAACGACACGGTTTCGAACTAATAAATAATAATAGATGCCAATTCTCTAAAACACCTAAAACCTCATTGGTTGAACGTGACGTCAATGGACGTAATTGTTGTTCGTTAAAGTCTGAAAAAGCTTGACAGACAGCTGAAAATGACTTGTTCCCAGTCGCCGAACAGTCATAAGGTCTCACCAACAGCGTTGCGTGATATTTAAGGGAGATCAGTCACGGTATCTTTTAGTTACTTTTGCCACAAGCAACATTGCATTTAAATTGAAGAAAACCTGACAATAGCAGTTTACTAAGATAGAAAAACAACAAAACACTAAAGAGATAATAATAAACCATAAAGGAACAAGGATGGTTTAGAACGGAGACGATTAGCGCGGATTACAACCGAAGAGCTTAAAAATATTAGGCTGAACTTTTTGAGAGGCGCAAACCGTGACGTAGCTCGTTGAAACGGAATATTTCACCATTGCATGACACGGGATGACTTATTAAGAGTATAGTGATATTTTGCGTTACGTCAACTGTTGTGCAAACAATTAAGAGACCTTTCATTTAATTTATAGTTTTCAAAACTGAGTGTTTTGAACGTCAGTTACAAAGTTTGTAAACAGTAAATACTGTCATAGAACCGTTATATATATAAAACTACGAACTTTTCAGCTGTTCCTGATGAACTTAGCAAAGAGAATATCGTTTAAAATTGCTGGCAACAGAGTAAGGATATATCTCGCTGCGACGAAAAATAATATCAAACGTGAAAATTAAAAACGGAAATGAATATTTTGTTATAGTTGTAATGTTCAGTATAGTTTTTGATAATCATCTTTTTTCTTTTTACCAACAAGGTTTGAGGACTCTGGGTTCTTTCTGTGAAATAAAGTACATTTTCTGAATACTAAATATAAATTTTTGATCTAAATAGTGCAGTCGAGAAAATATTTGTAAAAGGTTTAGGATGTTATTTGATAATTCCATTTATATTTTATATCAGTGCCTTTAACACTAGCAGGGTTACCATTATTTTTTTATTATTGTGTTATATTATCATTGTTATTGACATCAGTGATTTTCTGATATGCCTTAAAAATATAAAATCGATATAGCTGTTCCTGTATGACTCATTCATTTGCAGAAATAATAATAATACTGACGGCATGCTTAGTCAGCGAATTGTTTAAGATGGTTTAAAATAATTAACGGGACAACTAAACGTGAATAAAATAACTCGTATTTTACTTTGTCCAGTTACATGCAGTCGTCTATTATTCTCGTCTATAAATTTTTTTTTTCCTTCTTCTTCAGTGGAAACCCTCAATTTTTCGGACCTCCCGATAACTCGAACCAAAAGTCGTTCACCCCTCCTCACTCTGACACTGTAATTTTACCCTAGATTTCTCAAACTACTCGATTTCTCAAACCAATTTTCGTTTCCCTCGGAGATTCGAAACATTGGAATTGCTCTGTACTAGCAATGTCGAAAATGGTTATTTACATATCAAGCAGAATTCTTTTTCACGAATGTAGACCACATAATCTTGGAATAAAGATCAAAACATAGTTTCCGCCAGCCGGCTGTGTACTTGCTGCGGATACGGAAGGAAGCAACCTTGCGTAACTTTTACTAATTTCTCCAGTCTGAATCACGGACACTCGTTTTGGCTACCTGTCTAAGTGCCCATTTTTTCTACTGGTTAAATAAGGTTAAGACCAGTTTGTACGTGGCAAAATCAACTAAAATAGCGTTTGTCATCATCAGTTACCAGTGATTTTTATTTTCATAGTGATTGTGGCGGAAATAAGAGCAATATATATAAACAACACCGACCTCCCTTGTTGCTACTGTAGGAGGTTCGCCGGTTTTAATTTTTTTTGGAATACCACCTTTGATGGTTATCTGAAGAAACTTGACAAACGCTTGTCACCAAGACATGCCTAGAGTGCTTATATTCATGCCTTGCCATTTATACTGAAAAACAAAAACAGTCAGTGGTATGGAAAACACTGAACCGTTGAAAACAGATAGTAAATTATGTTGAGATAATTAATCGCCGTTTATACGCTTGGCCTCTTTGTGTCCATAAAGCTATATAACTAGCGATATAGTGAGTTCTTTGATCAGAAAGGGATTGTATAGAACGTAAAATGGATTTAATTAGGAAAACACATTAAAATGCGGTGTTAATGACGAGCGTGCGTCAACAATATTCGGCAAATTTATGGTTAAGAATCAGTCATTTTTTCTTCTTTTTTCTCGTAGTTTGTTTTTACGTCGATAATCATTGTTTAATCTTTAAGCTCTTATCCATATGCCATTCGCGGTGTCAATAACACAGGGAAACAAAAATGAAGCAAATTATAACTTATGACTCTCGCGAAACCCCATCTATGCCCCATCTATACCGCGAACTCCCATCTATACCGCGAACTCCCATCTATACCGCGAACTCCCATCTAT